GCAGCGTGGTCAGTTATCTAGCTGTGCTGGAGATTATAAGCTCCAAGGAGCAGGGCTCTCCTATCCCTCTTGTATTGAACTGTATTGTCTCCTGTTATATTGTAAAGAGCTGAGCAAACTGTTGGCACTATATAAATCCTGTATAATAGTAATAATAATGTGCTCTCCTCCAATGATCAGACTTGACACTATGAAGTCCAGTGTGCTGCTGCTTCTCCTCCCCCAGCTCTCTGTTCCAGCTGACTTGTGTCCCCATTGGGGAGGACTTTCCGTCCTGTCCCATAGCCAAAACAGGAAGTGGGAAGAAATTCCTTCAAATTAAGGGGAATCCCTTGGGGCCCCCAGAACCAGTGTCCCCATTAAGGAGGGGGGTTCTTCACTTCCTGTTCCATAGCCAAAACAGGAAGTGAGAGGAAATCCCTGCAAATTAAGGGGAATCCCTCGGGGCCCCCAGAACTAGTGTCCCCATTGAGGAGGGGGGTTCTTCACGTCCTGTTCCATAGCCAAAACAGGAAGTGAAAGGAAATCCCTGAAAATTAAGAGGAATCCCTCAGGGCCCCCAGAACTAATGCCCTCATTCAGAAGGGGGGGTTCTTCACTTCCTCTTCCATAGCCAAAACAGGAAGTGAGAGGAAATCCCTGCAAATTAAGTGGAATCCCTTGGGGCCCCCGGAACTAGTGTTCCCATTGAGTAGGGGGAGTTCTTTACTTCCTGTTCCATAGCCAAAACAGGAAGTGGGAGGAAATCCCTGCAAATTGAGGGGAATCCCTCGGGCCCCCCAGAAATAGTGTCCCCATTGAGAGGGGGGTTCCTTTACTTCCTATTCCATAGCCAAAACAGGAAGTGGGAGGAAATCCCTGCAAATTAAGGGGAATCCCTCGGGGGACCCCAGAACTAATGTCCCCATTGGGGGGGGGTCTTCATTTCCTGTTCCATGGCCAAAACAGGAAGTGGGAGGAAATCCCTGCAAATTAAGGGGAATCCCTCGGGGCTCCCAAAACTAGTGTTGCCATTGGGGGGGGGGGGGGGGGGGGTCTTCACTTCCTGTTTCCATAGCCAAAACAGGAAGTGAGAGGAAATCCTTGCAAATTAAGAGAATCCCTTGAGGACCCCAGAACTTGTGACCCCATTGGGAAGATTTCCCTTCACTTCCTGTCTCATAGGCAAAACAGGAAGTGAGAGGAAATCCATTGGGACCCCCAGAACTAGTTTCCCCATTGGAAGATGTCCCCTCTAGTACTGTTCTGGGGACAAACCACAATTTGGAATTTTCTTTTTCATTCACTTTTGATAATAGCAGTAAATAGGACAAATGTAGGGGTGAGTCTCCCTTAGGGGGGGTACAGACAATAAGAACCTGACAGGGGTGTCACCCCCTCTGAACTGAAGAGTATTGCCTTTAGTTATACTTCACGCTTTCTATGACCGGGTTGGGATATAAAGCAGAGCCCGCTCTGGTCAGGTCTGTCAGCAACAACCACAGGACAAAGCGCCGACAATGGCTGAGTCATAGGAGTCTATGGATGACGTCACCACTCGGTCGTGGCGCGCTCTCTCCTCTCCGGTCGCTTTGTAAGCTCGGCTTGATACACGAGCAGTGCCGGCACTTTCTGCGTAGGAACCCTCAGCGGAAGGCGTGAGGCACCATGGCTGCTGTACCCAGCCGGGCCTTTCCTTCCTCCCTCCACATTCCCGCCCTCACCACACATGTATATTCTACACCCCGCTCTCACCCTGGGCTCTCTTCCCTCGGCGCTCTTCCGATTATAGCGGCCAGGGCCTGCACTCCGAGCCCACAGCTCGGAAACCAACCCTTCGCTCGCTCTCCATACACCTCGCGAGACTTCAACCGAACACAATGCAAATTTCCGCGAGAGCACAGCTGACCTCGCGAGCTTGACCAGGTGTAATACACCGAACGGCCGGAGGAGGGCGAACGAATGACAATAACAATTCGATCTGCAGAGAGGTTTTGTTCTGAGCTCTTTTCTACTTAGTAGATCACATGATGTGGGCGGGCTGTGCTGCCAGTATGGGGTGCTATCTGGATTTAGAAGGTTGGGAAAATCACGTTTCTGAAATGGTGACCGGGAGTGTTTTATTTATTTCAGGTACTTATATAGCGCCGTCAATTTACATAGCACTTTACATACATATATACATTCACATCAGTCCCTAACCCTCAAGGGGTGTACAATCTAAGATCCATAACTCACATTCATACACATACAAGGGCCAATTTTAGACAGGAGCCAATTAACCTATCATCATGTCTTTGGAAGTGGGAGGAAACCAGAGTACCCAGAGGAAACCCGCACAGGCAGAGCATGCAAACTCCAGGCAGGTGGTGCTGTGGTTGGGATTCGAACCAATGATCCTAGTACTGCCAGATGGAAGTGCTAACCATTTAGCCACTGTGCTACCCGGTGCCTAACTCTGGCAATGTTAGCTGTGTAAAGTCTTGTTAACCACTTCAAGTCCGGACACTTTCACCCCCTTCCTGCCCAGGCCAATTTTCAGCTTTCAGTGCTATCACACTTTGAATGACAAATGCGTGGTCATGCAACACTGTACCGATATTAATTTTTTAGCATTTTTTTTTTTGACAGATAAAACTATTTTGGTGGTATTTATTCACCTCTGGGATTTTTATTTTTTTGCTATATAAATAAAAATGTCCAAAGATTTTGAAAAAAAGTGTTTTTCTTATACAATTTTACAATAAATAATCTTTCTTCATAAATCTTGGCCAAAATGTATTCAGCTATCTTTTTAGTAAAAAAAAATAATAACCCAAATTAGTTTATAACCAAAAATTATAATTTTTCAAAATGTTTTTACATTTTATTTTTTATATTATTGTTTATGTTTTTAACATACTTTCACTGTGACACTGTACTACTTGTGGGGGGTGATGAAGATTTTGTTTTCTTTTTTTACACTGATTGCTTTTACACCCATAAAGGCTGTAAAAGCCATAATTTCTCCTTCTCTCTGATTGCATTCTTGCAGCCATTGAAAAATACTGTGAGAGCTGTGATTGATCACAGGTTGTCACATGGTACAAGGCTGTTGCGAATAGCCTTGTACCATGTGACCTCTGTGATCATTCACAGATTTCACTAGTAGAAAGCAATGATGTTAGAAGTGACATCTTGCTTACTACTATTCATGTGATCACTGATTGGCCAATCAGTGATCACATCCTCACACAGAGGTCCTGTAAAGCAATTGGTGTTCTGCTGTGTCTGGAGGATACAACAGGCACTGGATCACTGTGCTGTGCACTCCCAGAGAGCACACACAGGCAGTGAATGTAGAGGCTGTTTATAAATGGTCACCCACTCCTGCACTGCTCCCATCCAGCTGGTTATGTACATGGGCTGGATGGGAAGTGATTAACCTACCAGCATGTCCTTGGAGTATGGGAGGAAACCCACACAGGCACAGGGAGAACATGTAGACTCCAGGCAGGTGGTGCTGGGATCTGAACCAACAACCCTAGTACTGCCAGACGGAAGTGCTAACCATTTAGCCACTGTGCTGCCCACTTGCTAGTGTTTTTGTATTAGTATTTAGCTGCTGTTTCTGTGTTTTTTTTCGCGTTTGTGTTTTTTAGAGTTTTTTTTACCAAAAACATTTTTTTTTGGTCAAAAAGATGTCCAAAAATGATGATTTACAGCGTTTTGCCGCGTTAAAGAATTTTTACAGCTAAAAAACTCCTCTAGAAACCCACTAGTCCTGTTTTTTTTTCCAACCAAAAACGCCCCAACCAAAAAATGTTGATTCCAGTCTATGAATGCATGGGCACATAGGATAACATGCTGGGGGTTTACTGGCTGTAGAAAAAAAGTCAAAAGCCAAAAACAGCCACTGTAAAAAACGTGACGTGTGCATGAGGACTAAGGGTTAGGTAATGTAGGCGGTCGCTAGCTTCATACCTATGCAGTTTTTGTTTGATCCATTTCTGCAGTGCTTTTGGCATTTTTGATGCAATGATGTGTTTTTACTTTTTTTGCCAACTTGTTGCTGGGCAGATTCAAATGAAAAACGTGTCAAACGCACTACATGCATTTCTGCAGCATCTCCCTTGCAGTCTATTGAACCAGAACAAAATGTTTTGCATTTAAAAAAGTCCCTGACCTGTTTCCAAAAAATGCACCAGGTGACAACGCAGAAATGTGAACGTGTCCCATAGGAAATCAGGTTAAATGGACTGTAGTGCATTTCTGCAAAATGCACCACAAAACGATACTCCCAAAAATAAATTCTGCTACTTCTCCTGAGTATGGGGACACCACCTGTGAGAGACTTTTTGGCAGTCTAGTCAAGTACAGGACCCCAAAATCCAATAAGCATCTTCAAGTTTTTAAAGGGGTTTATTTCCTCATTACACATCCTGACTACCTATCACAGTTTCGGAGGCCCTGAAATGCCAGGATAGCACCAAACTCCCTCAAATTACCCCTTTTTGGAAAATAGACACCCCAAGGAATTTGACAAGAAACATGATGAGTATTCTGCAGATATTTCGTTTGGGTACAGCATTGCATGACCGCGCAATTATCAGATGAAATAGTGCAGCGCCAAATAGCAAAAATAGGCCTGGTCATGAAGGGGGGTAAATCCTCAGGGTGGCAAGTGGTTGACACACACACACACACACTCTCTCTCTCTCTCTCTCTCTCTCTCTCTCTCTTTCGTGTTCCAATCACCTCCATGACCACAGGTGAATAAAATCAAGCACCTAGGCATGCAGACTGCTTCTACAAACATTTGTGAAAGAATGGGTCGCTCTCAGGAGCTCAGTGAATACAAGTGTGGTTCCGTGATAGGTTGCCACCTGTGCAATAATCCATGAAATTTCATGAAAAGTCCATCCATAAAATTTCCTTGCTACTAAATATTCTACGGTCAACTGTTAGTGGTAATATAACAAAGTGGAAGCAACTGGCAACAACAGCAACAGCCATGTAAAATGACAGAGCGGGTTCAGCACATGGTGACGTGCACAGTGCGCAGAAGTTGCCAACTGTCTGCAGAGTCAATAGCTAAAGACCATCAAACTTCATGTGGCCTTCAGATTATCACAACTACAGTGCGTAGAGAGCTTCATGGAATGGGTTTCCATGGCTGAGCAGCTGCATACAAGCCTTACATCACCAAGTGCAATGCAAAGCGTTGGATGCAGTGGTGTAAAGCATGCCGCCACTGGACTCTACAGCAGCGGAGACGTGTTCCCTGGAGTGACGAATAACGCTTCTCTCTGTCTGCCAATCCGATGGAAGTGTCTGAGTTTGGCGGTTGCCAGGAAAATGGTACTTGCCTGACTGCATTGTGCCAAGTGTAAAGTTTGGTGGAGTGGGGATTATGGTGTGGGGTTGTTTTTGAGGGTTTTGGCTTGGCCTCTTATTTCCAGTGAAGGGAACTCTTAAGGCATCAGCATACCAAGACATTTTGGACAATTTCATGTTCTCAACTTTGTGGGAACAGTTTGGGGATGGCCCCTTCCTGTTCCAACATGACTGCGTACAAAGCAAGGTCCATAAAGACATGGCTGAGCGAGTTTGGGGTGGAGGAACTGGACTAGCCTGACCTCAACCCGATAAAATACCTTTGGGATGAATTAGAGCGGAGACTGCGAGCCAGGCCTTCTCATCTGACATAAATGCCTGACCTCACAAATGCACTTCTGGAAGAATGGTCAAACATTCTTTTCCCACTCGAATGTCACTCTGAACCTCCAAAATTCTGGGTTCCCAAATACATCTCTGCAAATCAGTTCTCTCTGAGAGTCAGTTCTTTCCTCTACATGGCTACCCCAAAATACCTCACCCATGACGGGTGAGATCCCTGAGTACACACACCTTTTTCCCTTAAAGGGACCATAATCCAAATACCGGCGCCACATAGCACCCATCCAGGACCCATCCCTGGCGTCCTGTAAATATCCCCCCTGGCTCAACGTGGAGGTGTTGGAGGCACCATTTGACAACAATGCAGTCAGGAGAGGGCATCGGTACTTTGATGCTGTCTCCCGGCTCTGTGCTCTATTCCAAAGTTGAACTCCTGGAGAGAAAGAAACCAACTCATCACCCTGGCATTGGCATGCTTGTTTTTTCTCATCCAGGTCAATGGGGCATGGTCTAACACCTGGCGAAACCTCCTGCCTAGCAAAAAAGTACCGCAAGAGTCCAGAGCCCATTTAATGGTGAGATACTCTCACTCCACCACAGCGTAGTTTTTCTCTGCCACTGTCAGTTTCCTACTGAGAAAAACTCTTGGGTGCTCCTCCCCATTGACCACTTGAGACAAGACCACTCTTAAGCCCTCACTTGAGGTATCTGTCTGCACCACAACCTTTTTAGAAATATCAGGGGCTACAAGCATCGGATGCTGACACAATGCAGTCTTAGGTTTCTGAAAAGCTTTTTCTTCATCCTCATTCCACTTTACAATTACTGACTTTCTGCCATTTGTTAAATTAGTTAATGGTGCAGCAATGGTGCCAAATTTAGGGACACATCTCCGCTAGTAGCCAACAATGCCTAAAAATCCTTTGACCTGTTTTTTGGTTAGGGGACAGGGCCAGTTCTGTATGGCTTCCACCTTATTCATTTGAGGTTTCACTAGCCCCCTACCCACAATATACCCTAGGTACTTGGCCACCTCCACCCCAACCACACACTTCTCAGGATTAATTGTGAACCCTGCCTTTTTTAAGAAGTCTATAACTGCCTGAACCCCAGGAAGATTGGTCTCCCAATCAGTAGTGAAAATGACAATATCATCCAGGAAGACTGAAGCGTATTGCCGATGCGGGCGTAATATTTTGTCCATTGCTCTTTAGAATGTGGTCGGGGCCGAGTGTAAGCCAAATGGCATTCCTTTATACTGTAATTGGCCTTCCGGGGTGGAAAAAACTGTCTTCCCTCTGGCTTCCTTGGTGAGGGAGTCTGCCAGTACCCTTTTGTGAGGTCCAACGTGGTGATATACCGGACGGGGCCCAACCTCTCAATTAACTCATCTACCTGAGGCATCACATAGGTATGAAATTTCATTAAATTTCCTAAAGTCATTGCAGAAGTCACTGTTGGTGCCAACACGGTGGGACTCGACCACTCACTCTGCGACTCTTCAATCTCATCAAGTTTAAGCATTCTCTCTCCCTTCTTCAGATACTGCCTTTCTATGGGGCTTCTGGGATACATTAGAGCTTTAAACGGATATTTTCATTGGGCTCTGTTACAATGTCATGCTCGATGACATTGGTGAGACCAGGCAATCCTGAAGGTCATTTGCCACGCATTTCAATCGGGATGAGGTTCAGGGACTCTGACTACATTTTTCTTTTTTTCTGCAAAAACTCTTTTGCTTGTTGGGTTTGAAGCCTAGACAGGGTACCAACCATCTGCAACAGGTCACTCTCGTAAGTTCCCCTGAATTTACACTTACCAGAGCGGACACTTGTTCTCTATCTCTCCAGTGTTTTAACAAGTTAGCATGATACATTTGGTACAGCTTTATTTTCCCTGGCTGGTGTACCTTGTAGTTCTCATCATCCACTTTTTCTATTACCTCAAAAAAGTCCCTGCCACTTGGCTAAGAATTTGCTCTCCACCAAGGGTATTAGAACAGATACCCGGTATCCTATTTCAAAACTGACTGAGCCTTCTAGAGACGTTCCTCATGAATGTATTAATCTAGCCACTCTCGCTTGCATTTTGAGAGATATGCTCTACTACTATTTGGTGTGGTGACATTTCACTTTCCCACATCTCCTTTACTGGATCAAGCAACCCCCCGTGGCCTTCACCCGTACACTATCTCAAATGGTGAGAAGCCCATGGTTGCTTGTGGAACCTCCCGGATGGCAAACAACAGGGCAGGGAGCAACATATCTCAATCCTTCGCGTCCTTCAGAACCACTATTATTAACAATGATTTCAGGATTTTTATTAAACCTCTCAACAAGGCCATCTATCTGCAGATGATAGACGGATGTCCGCAAATGCTTAATTTGAAACTGCTTGCACAAGTCTGCCTTCACCTTGGACATAAAAGTGGTACCCTGGTCTGTTAGTATTTCTTTGGGGAACGCAGTTCGTGAAAACATTTGAAATAATTCTCGGGCAATGGCTTTAGAAGACATTTTCCTTAACAGATAAATATTGGTGTCCCCTTGTTGACTTTACTAAGAACCCCAGAAGAATCATAGTGATCTGTTCAAATGGCACCTCAATTATAGGCAAGGGTACCAGGGGGTTTCTGTAGTGTGACACCGAGGCAGTTAACTAACAGGTGGGGCAGGATGCACAGTACCTTTTTACCTCCACCTTCACCCCTGGCCAGTAAAACTGGTTGGTTATTCTGGCCTGTTTTTTCAGCCCCCAGGTGACCTCCCAGTGCGTCATTGTGGGCTAGATTGAGGAGCATCCGCCTATACAGCTGGTCAACCAGAAATTGCTCTACAGTTTTCCCTTGGCTTTCAGCCACTCAATAATGCAATTTCCCATTCAGCGCAAAATGAGGAAACCTTTGATCTGCACCAGGCACCTGTGGTACTCCATTAACAACTGTAATCTGCTCTTGAGCATTGACCAGGGTAGGATCCTGTAAGTCCATCATCTACATAGAAATTTCTTAAGATGAACTGTTTTACATTTTCCTCCATACTCACTTGCTCCCTTTATGGTCTTAGACCATAAATAGCTAAGAAAGGCTAAGGACTATTCCCAAAGACATGTACTTTCACCCTGAACTCTGTAATTTCTTTGTTGAGGTCATTATTTGGAAACCAGTGGAACCTCAAGTAGTTGCGGTGATCTTCTCTAACCACGAAACAGTAAAACATTTGCTGCACATCAGAAGTAAGTGCAACTTGCTCTTTGCAGAAACATAGGGACACCTAGCAGCATATTATTCAAATCAGGGCCACTTAGAAGTACATCATTCAATGGGATGCCGTCGTACTAAGCACTAAAATCAAAAACTACTCTGATCTGCCTGGTTTTTGAGGGTGATAGACACCAAAGACCGGTAGGTACCAACACACTTCACCCAGTTTTAGTGGTGGGGCAGGTTCTGCTTAGTCATGGTCAAAGATCTTTTGTATAAAGTTAACAAAATGTTCTTTCATTTAAGGTTTTCTTGTCAAGGAACGCTGTAGAACAAAGAGTCTCTTTTGTGCTTAGCTGTTGTTTGGCAGTCTAGGGCATGGTGAGCACAATGGTAGGAGTGCTACCCAGTGGTTTGCACACACACATCTTCTTTTCAACTACATCAAGGAACATATGATATTTTGATGGACATAGCAAGTCTTTCATCATTTGGAGTTGTAGTAAACACGTTGTCACCTAAACTGTCCATGCTAGGAGCTGTGATCCCTGAATGGCAAAATGAGGTAGTGCATGGGTAGTTCACAAGCATTAACCCCTTCACGCCTAAAACAAATCTAAATGCCTAGCACAATTCTGCAACGTTGACATGTGTTAGTAAAACCGTACATATCATCACAACTACTTTGTACATCCAGGTGGATTATACCATGATTTTTTCAGGACAAATTGGGCTTTCATTTGGTGGTAAATGGTAATGGATAGCTCCTGATTATTTTTTATTATCAAAGGAAAACTGGCCCAAAATAGTAAAAAAAAATAATTTTTGTTATTTAGCTGTGTGTTTCTTATTGCTGCCATAACCTACCACCAAAGAACAACCCAAAAAATTTTCCAGCTCTTGACGATCGCAGCGATACCATATATGTGTATGTTATTTGTTGTTTGTACCCGTAGCACAGCCCAGAAACAATAGTGCGCATTTTGTTTTTGTCTTTTTTTTTTTTTTTTTGCCTAAAACACACTGATACTGACATTGACACTAACTGGCACTGATACCAATTTTCTTTAAAATCCTGACCTTTGACCCTGACCTTGACCCAAACACTAACCCTGGCACTGAACTAGATCAAACCTTGATCTAGGTATTTTTCTTTATTTTTTCTTTTCTTTTTTAATATTTATTTATTTAGCTTCTTTTTTT